ATGTGGAGGGTTCACTGTAACTTTTCTCTTTCCCTATAGGGATAGTGTACCTATACTTTAAGAGAAATTACCTTGACAGCTTCTCAGGGCCGCTGAAGCCCGAAAAGGTCCGTCCTGGCTACATTCAGTGCAAAAGTCAAACCACTGTAAAAGAAAAAAAAAAAAACAGTTCAAAATTTATCATGATTAACAAAACATAACAAGTAAAAATTTGAAGCTAGAAAAGCCTAAGAAATAAGGTAACAAAAGTAATCAGGTAATCCATACTCTCATGCCTGGCAAAGATTAAAGGAAACTTTTACATGAACAGAAGTATGATTGTACTGACAATCCACATAAACACTGCATTCAAACACTCTTAATATTACTATTCTTATTTCCACATTAGAATAAGTGCCTAAAAACACTGTAGCTGTTAAAGTCAGATAGTTCTGGAGTACTAAAGTATATCATACAACACCTAAATTACAGCACTGAAAGCAAAAGGCCATGGTGGCAGCAACTGACACACAATTCAGCCGCATTACATTAGTGAAAAACATTAAATTTAAGTTTATGTTGCTCTTCTGAATGTTTACAAACATTAAGCTTCCTGAAGAAACTTGGTACTTGAAATTAGACTGTCCAAATAAAGCAAAATATGTAATCCACAAATTACTGGATCATTCAGTGCAGTGTTCCAGATCTGTGAACACACATTTGTATAGAGAGAGGAATAATCCAATTAGTAATGAAGAGGACTGGAAGAATCAATGTACTTCAGTGACTACAGCATAAAGCTGGGTTCAAAACATCCACACCAATGAATTACCTCCACCGCCGGCCACACCAATGAGTCTGCTGGTCATTTTTGATAAACATCTTAATTTAATCTTAGTTTATTTTTCTACCAGCTAAGTCTTTTGTGGATTTAATATTGTATTTAAAAGAACATAAGTGTTTGTTAAGTACACAAAAAGTACTCCTATTAATAGACAGAGACTCATCGTGCCATCTTTATTATCTTTTTGACACCAAGTAATTCCCCCCAGGCCTTTTAAATAAGGATTTGCATTCTGTTCAGTAACTATAATGGTGTATGTCTGCATTATGCCATCAAAATTAATTTTTATGGTTGTTATGCATGCAACAATCAAAAGTCCTTTCAAAGCCTACCTTTTAGCAGCTCAACCATTCCCCCCCCCACATCCATTTCCTTCTTGACAGGGAGCCCATAAATAAGTGGAGATGTGTCCAACTGTGTTCCTCTGTGACAGACTTCTGCAGCATTGTCTGTCATAGTGCATTCAGCTATAGGAAGGGTACAGGGCACATTTCCACTCTCACACACCCCAGCAACACAGAAATGGTCATGCTGGGCAAGGTCATGCTGGGCAATGGTCATGCTGCTGAAAAGGTAGGTTTGGAGTGGAAACACTGGAAGACATAATCACATCTCTGTAGCTCTATTTCCCAATGAAGGATCTTGGCCAAAATTGTCAGCCACCTTTAAAATTCTGTTTTAAGCCTTATGGGGAGTGTAGCCACATCACTGCATTGCAAAAAACAACAACCAGTCTTTGTTAAAGAACAACAAATTTTATCTGGCTATACGTTTTCATGGATTTCAATCCAGTTGCATTTGATAAGGCGGCCTGAGGGCCACAAAGGCTTGAGCCAAATGAAGTTAGCAATCTTTAAGGCGCCACAAGACTTGTGTTTTAATAATGTATATTGTTTCATACATTAATATAAAAAAAATAGTTTTGTGATTTGGTGGCTTTACAAATACAACAAATGTTTGGAAGAGACTTTAAAAAGTTTTGAGTTGAGAACTCCACAGAAAGTCATCTGACACCAAGAGATAATACGCAAAGTTTATTGTAAAGTCCACCAATTATTCACTGTTTTATAAACTGTGTAAGACCACAATATGCAAGCTATCCAACCAGAGATAAATTATGCCTGTCAGAAACTAAGGGCCTTACAGACTGCCAGAAATAATGCAGCTTGAGGCAACTTTAACTGTCCTGGCTCAGTGCTAAGGAATCATGGCAATTGTATTTTTTTCTAGGACATTGTGCCTTCTCTGTCATGTCAGAGAACTCTGGTGCCACAATAAACTACAGTTCCCATGATTCCTTAGCACTGAGCCAGGACAGTGAAAGTGGCCTCAAGTTGCATTATTTCTGGCAGTCTGTAAAGTCCCAGTGACTTTCCATAAAACATATCATGAGTCCATTTTTAAAAAATGTTCCTCATGGTGAGAAGTGTCAGAATTAGCTGGGAGGATGTTTATGTTAATTAGCTGGGAGGAGGGGAAGGAACAGATACTGCCTTTGGCAAACCTAAAGTTTATTAATACAGTTTACTGATGAAAAACCATGAAACCTGAATAAGGTCATGATGGTTTTATTTTGCTACATTAAGGAACTTATAATCACTATGACATTCAAAATTCAAATGTTCACAGTAATTCATCAAAATAAGAATTTAATGTCACAGTTTAGAAGTGGAAAACATATGCTATTCATTATGCTTTTATAGAACACTGATTATACTTTTAAAGCAAGAGTAAAATGATGAAACTGCTTAGAAAGTTAAAACTTGGATGGCAGGCACAAACCCAAGAGTAAAGAAGATTACAGCAATACTTTCACTATTAAGATTACCACATTACACTCTTAAGAGTACCGTACTGCTATTCCACTTTAACTGCTCCGGCTGCCGCCTGTTGCATTCTGGAGTTTGTAGTTCACTTAAGCCTAAGAGCTCTCTTGCTGAATACACTACATGCTAACACAATTGTTAAACTGCAAATCCCAGAATGCAACAGGAGGCAGCCAGAGCACACAAGTGGAATAGGAATGCTATTAAGAGTGTAGTGCAATAATCTCATAAATTCAAACAAAAACATATCTCAGTGATCACTGATGGACATTCACACTCACAACAGAAAAATAAGAATCACCTATCTCAGAAAAGTATTTGTAACTATCCTATAAATAATAAAATTTATTTTAGGATACATCCAAGGGCATGGACCATCAAATTTTCTTGGTGAAAATCCTAACAAGTCAAACCTAAACAAGTCATTTGCTTTTAACACTACTGTGAAGTATTATTGTAGCTGACAATATATATATGGTACTTATTTTCATTCCATTCTACATTTCCAAAATGAGATAATTTCATTTTTTGAAAATAGGTTATTGGTCTGCTCTAGCCCCAAAATGTCAATACAGCTCTATCACATGTGTAGTTTTTGAAAATAGACAAATGCTTTTTTTTTCCCCCCTCTACAATCTTATTATTAAAGCAACTGAAAGGGGATAAAAACAGACTAGTGGCAAAACCACCTCTGAGTATCCCTTGCCTAAGAAGACCCTATGAAATTAATGGGATCACCATAAGTCAACAGGTAACCTGAAGGCGCGCACACACACACACACACACTCCTAACCTGCCTGTATATATCAAGCAACAGCATCTCAATTACGATCTGTTCAGGAGGCAACATGAACAATATAAGCAACAGAAACAGAAGTAGGAACTCAAAAGTTGCACTTTCTTTTATACCAGCTTGTACAGGTAGCATGCGGCCAGAAACATTTTGTTCTCTTCGTGATACTTAAATAACGCACATTACAATAAACCGTTTCCTAGACTTTATGGCTCCTTTTCTTGTCACCCAAATACAAGTACTAGTCCAAGTTTAGCATACAACATATAAATAAACTCATGGGTTATTTCCCTCAGGCATAAAATACTGTCTCCAACATTTTGAGAGGGGGTGCCATCTCTAATCTGTGGCAAAAGCTTAAAATCTTATTATGTAACATATTTTTAAAAAAGAAAAATGCTTTTAGGCAGTCACCACTCTCCTGGGGTGCATCTCTACACCATAGAAATAATGGCATTTGACACCACTTTAACCGCCAGGGCATCATCCTGGGATTTGTAGTTTGATGAGCCACTAAGGGCCTGAACACTGCCAGAAATAATCCAGTTTGAGACCACTTTAACTGCCGTGGCGCAGTGCTAGGGAATCATGGGAACTGTAGTTTATTGTGGCACCAGAGCTCTCTTACAGAGGTTCAGTGTCTCATCAAAAACTACAATTCCCATGATTCCCTAGCATTGAGCCATGGCACTTAAAGTGGTCTCAAGCTGAATTATTTCTGGCAGTCTGTTCAGGCCCTAACATTCTTGGGCAGAGAAGGCTACGGGCTATGTAAAACTACAGGTCCCATGACTCCATAGGATTCAGTAGCCAAACTGCGTTATTTCTACGGCGTAAATGCACCTCTGGTGGCCTAGACAGTCCCGCCAATCAGGAGACAAGGAGGGGGGAGGAGAAGAGAAAGATGTAAGCAGCCGGTTATATTTATTTATACCCTTGAGGATCATTTTTCATGTTGCATTTCAAAGGGGACTGTTAGAACCTGCGCTGCTATAAATAAGACTTTACACCAAAGGCTTCTTGGCTGTCCTCAGCATCGGTTCCCCCTCTTGACTGACTGCACTACAGAACCAGTTTAAAATTTCTTTTTTTTTGGGGGGGGGGGGGGGGGGTAAGAGAGGAAAAACAGAGACAAGGCTGCTTAGCAGTCTGACCTCTTCTGCAGACCAACGACACCCCTCATGCTTCCAGGACTCTCACCCTCCACCTCTTCTGACCGGATTCTTTGGAAGCCCCATAATTAGCTCCATAGGGAGGAACCCTTAGGCAACAGCGTGCTGTTTTAAACACTTTCAATCTTTTTACCAGTGATCTGTTTTAATATTGTAATAACGGTTTTAAAATTGTAATAATTTAATTTTAATGCATCACTTTTTTATGTTCTTAAGTGTGTGTGTGTGTGTGTGTGTGTGTGTGTGTGTTGTGTGCCTTCAAGTCATTTCTGACTTTCCTAAGGCAAACTTATTGCAGTGTTTCCTTGGCAAGTTTCTTCAGAGGAGGTTTTCCATTACCATCCTCTGAAAGTGTGACTTGACTAAGCTTATCTGATGGGTTTACAAGGCAGAATTGAGATTCGAACCCAGGTCTCCAGGGTTGTAGCCCAATGCTCAAACCACTGTATTATGCTGACTGTTCTTTGCTGTAGATCTGTGATTACCAAACTCTAGTCCTCCAGGTGTTTTGCACTTCAACTCCCAGAAGCCTCATCCATCTTGGCCAATAGTCTGGGATTCTGGGAGCCAAAGTCCAAAAACATTTGGAAGGCCAGAGTCTGGAAATCACTGCTGTAGTTTCAGGTTTTTGATTATTATTACTTCGGGACCTTACGAAAATCCATAAATGTTGGTTCTTTCTATATCTGCCTCTCCATCTGTCTTATATATGGCTCTTTTTCTACCTCCCCCCCTTCTGCTTCTTTTGTTAAACTGTACTGTTCTCTTTTGTACTCTTTTAAATTGTAATGCCATTCTCTTAAATTGTACTTTAAATTGTTGTTTCAAATACTTTCATATTTTAGCTATATTTCACTCTTTTAATGAGTAATCTGTTTGAATATCATAATAATTTAATTCTATTTTAATGCATCACTTTTGTATATTTTTAGTTGTACTATTCTTTTAAATTGTAAGCTGCTCTGAGCCCCAATTTTTGGGGAAAAGCAAGGTTTAAATTTTTGTTTGTTTGTTATGTGCTTCCAAGTCATTTCTGACTTATGGTGACCCTAAGGCAAACCTATCATGGGGTTTTCTTGGCAAGATTTGTTCAGAAGAGTTTGCCATTGCCTTCCCTTGAGGTTGGGAGAGTGTGACTTGCCCAAGGTCACCCAGGGGTTTTTTAATGGCTCAGCTGGGAATCGAACCCTGGTCTCTAGAGTCATAGTCCAACACACACTCAAACCAATATGCCACGCTGGTTCTCGATTGATGTACAGTGGTCCCTCCACATTTGATGGAGTTAGGGGTGAAGGACCCCCATGAAAGTGGAAAAAACAGAAATAAAAACAACACTCCACCACTATTCTTTTTACCTGAAAGAACACCTTTCTAGGAATCTCCAGGTCCTCTACTGCAACTCTATGGTCAACATCTGCCAGAGGCTGATCACAGAATCATGCTGGAGGACCTACAAATACCTAGAGAAGTGTTTTCTCTAGGAACTTCCAGATTCTCCAGCACAACTGTTACGGTCAAATGTCTGCCAAACTCTGCTGGAGGACCTAGACGTTCCTAGGGAGTACATGTTAATCAAAACCGCAAATAATCAAATCCGCAAAGTCAAATCTGCAAATGTGGAGGGCCAACTGTATTTATATCTCAATTGGGATATTAATACTAATAATGAAAATAATAAGGCTCTTATTTAGAGGCTCACCATCACCACCTCCATCACCACCATCCAAATAATTCTCACAAGAGGAACTCCCCAGTCCAAGCTCCCCAAGAATGCCCTCAGAAGGAGGTTCCACTGCACAAGGACCTCTGGCATCCACTGGGGTTTTGTTCTAGGATCTGCTATGGATACCAAAATCCATGGATGCCCAAGTCTCATTAAATACAATCGATAATAAAATAGTGTCCCTTACAGTCAAGGTTTGCTTATTGGAATTTGCATATTTTATGAATATTTTCAAGCCATGGATGGCTGAATCTGTGCATAAAAAATCTGTGGATACAGAGGACCGACTGTAGGTGAGTTCCTCCTCCCCCTCCCCATATAAAGCTGAAAGGAGAGAGACCTCCTTACGGCTCCCTCAACAATTAAATACAGTATTGGTAGCCAAGTGCTTTGCCTGGAGAGCAGAGTTCAATTCCAAGCTGGGCCATGGAAACCCACTGAGTGACCTTGGGCAACTCACATGCTTTCAGCCTCAGGGGAAGGCACCTGCAAACCTCCTCTGAACTAATCTTGCCAAGAAAACCCCATGATAGGTTCCCCTTAGGGAAGCAAACAAAAAAAATGACATCACTTCCCAGTCTCCCAAAAAAATTGGGACTCAGAGGGGCTTACAATTTAAAAGAACATTATTATAATTATTATTATTATTATTACTACTATTATTATTATTATTACTTATACCCTGCTTTCCCCCCAGAATTGGGACTCAAACCGCCTTACAATTTAAAAGAATGTTATCATTATTATTATTATTATTATTATTATATTTGTATCCTGTTTTTCCCCCAAAATTGGGATTCAGACTGCCTTACAATTTAAAATAACAGTATTATTATTGTTGTTGTTGTTGTTAACTATATTTGTATCCTGTTTTTCCCCAAAACTGGGACTCAGACCGCCTTACAATTTGAAATAACAGTATTATTATTATTATTATTACATTTGTGTCCTGCTTCCTCTCCTCCCCCAAATTGGGACTAAGATTGGCTTATAATTTAAAAGATCAGATGATGATGATGATGATTATATTTGTTTGTATTCTACTTCCCCCCCCCCAAAAAATGGGACTTTGAGTGGCTTGCAATTTAAAATAACATTATTATAATTATTATTATGTTATATTTATTTGTATCCTACTTCCCCCCCAAAATTGGGACTCAGAGCCTTCGCTTGGCTACCAATATTTAAGTGGTGGTGGGGGGGTGTCTCTCTCTCCTTTAATCCGAGGAGATTTTTAAATCATTTATTATTATTATTATTATTATTACTCTACGGTCCTTTTGGCCCAAAGGTAAGGAGGCCGCGAAGCAGGCCCAACGGTCTGGAAGCCCGAAAGGCCCCAGGAAAGAGCCCTGAGGGGGGATGCCCGAGGCCTGCCCCGCCGCCACGGCCGCCGCTCACCTACAAAAAGCCACGGCCGCCTCTCCGCCGGCCGCGCTCCCCAGGCGGAGCCCTCGTCGTCCTCCTCCTCGTCCTCTTCTGGCGCTTTTTCCCGCCCGTTTCTCCCGCCGGGGAACCTGAGGCACCGAGACCAAAACAAATGGCGGGAGGCGAGGCGGGGGAACTACCACCAAAAAATAAACTTTCGTCGTCGCCGTCGTCTCACTCCCTGGAGGGGGCACGAACCCAAACACATCGAAGCCCGCCCCTGCTGCCGCCCCATTCGACAGCGCCGGAATAACGTGCCTCCTCATTGGCTCTCTTGCCTAGCCGTCATAGGACGGCCCTCCCCTCTTTTCTCTTTCTATTGGCCGGCTCCTCGAAAACCTCGCGAGGCATTCGTGGCGAGGGCTGCTCATCAAAGGAAACTCCGCCTCCTGGGTTCGTGGTGATACTTGGAGGGCATGTAAAAAAAAAAACCCAACTATCTGGCTCCCTATTGGTTCTCTGACGTCGTTTTAACTTGCCACTCGTTCGCCGCCTCAGGCTCAGCTTTATCTCTGATTGGCTACAAATGCTGTCCGTCAGCAGAAATAGCAGATTTTTTTCCCCTACCCACCCACTCACTCTCTTCCATACTCTGAAGCGATTGGTTGTGCATTTCGTCACTGTGAAGTATTAATCCCGCCCACGGAATGGGACCGGCCATAAATCTTGGGTTAAAAAAAAAATTCCTCAGACGCATGCGCATGGAACATATGCTTTGTTGTTTACTGTCTCTTTAGTAAGACCTGAGCTTGGGCTCTCTATACATCTCTCTGTCATATGTGCCCTGCTCTCTATTATTTTTTACATACACTGAAAACAGCCATTCGCGAGTTTGGCCAGGATTGGGGCTAGGAAACGTTACTATCGTTCTCCAGCTTCCATTTCCCTCAGTCAGCATTCGCAGTGGCCATACTGCCCGGGGTATTCTGGGAATTGTCGTCCAAACAAAATTAACTTTGGCTAATTCTGAGGTGAATTCAATCTAAACTGACCCTGTGTCTGTACCACAGACGCAGAGAGCCAGCGTTGTGTAGCAGATTGTTAGACTACGGGCCTGTACAGACTGCCAGAAATAATCCAGTTTGAGACCAC